GTAGTTGTTCTCTTGTCTTTCAGCAATTCCAGTCCGAAGCTCCAGGCTACCATTGTTGTCTGATGCCATGCCAGCACCAGCTCATCTGTTTCCATTGATTCGTAACTGTGAGATTAGCAGAATAGGCAGTACTGCCTGTTACTGCCACCATAAACATCTGTGTTGTTTATCATCTCATTTTGCTCACAGTCACTTCAGATATGCACCACAGAAGAAATTTGCGGCCGTTTATAGGCCAAAGGAGAACTTTAATCACTTTATTCACACAAGGGATCATGGTTCTGCACCACAGAGGTTTTACCTCACTCCTCCACAGGTCAACAGCATTCTGAAGGCAAATGAATACAGTTTCAAAGTCCCAGAGTTTGATGGTAAAAATGTAAGTTCTGTTCTTGGCTTCGATAGCAACCAGTTGCCGGCTAATGCTCCCATAGAAGACCGGAGGAGTGCTGCCACGTGTTTACAGACGAGAGGGATGCTGCTGGGTGTGTTTGATGGCCATGCAGGCTGTGCTTGTGCTCAAGCTGTAAGTGAAAGACTGTTTTACTACATTGCTGTCTCTTTGTTACCTCATGAGACTTTACTTGAAATAGAAAATGCTGTGGAAAGTGGCAGAGCTCTGTTGCCCATTTTACAGTGGCACAAGCATCCCAATGATTATTTTAGCAAAGAAGCTTCCAAGCTTTACTTCAATAGTCTAAGAACTTACTGGCAGGAGCTGATTGATCTCAACAGTGGAGAGACTACTGATGTGAGAGAAGCTTTAATTAATGCTTTTAAGAGGCTTGATAATGATATTTCTTTGGAAGCTCAAGTAGGAGATCCAAATTCTTTTCTTAACTATCTAGTACTGCGAGTAGCATTTTCTGGTGCAACTGCCTGCGTGGCCCATGTGGATGGTGTTGATTTGCACATTGCAAACACAGGTGACAGTAGGGCAATGCTTGGGGTTCAGGAAGAAGATGGATCTTGGTCTGCAGTTAATTTGTCCTATGACCACAATGCACAAAATGAACATGAAGTGGAACGTCTGAAAATGGAGCATCCAAAGTCTGAAGAGAAAACTCTTGTGAAACAGGATCGTCTCTTGGGTCTCCTGATGCCTTTCAGAGCTTTTGGTGATGTGAAGTTTAAATGGAGTATTGAACTGCAGAAGAGAGTAGTAGAAACAGGCCCAGATCAGCTGAATGACAACGAATATACAAAGTTTATTCCTCCAAACTATCACACTCCCCCATACCTCACGGCTGAACCAGAAGTCATACATCACAGATTACGGCCACAGGATAAGTTCCTGGTTTTGGCCACGGATGGACTGTGGGAGACAATGCACAGGCAAGATGTGGCTAGAATTGTAGGGGAGTACCTCACTGGTGTTCACCATCAACAGCCAATAGCTGTTGGTGGCTATAAGGTAACTTTGGGACAGATGCATGGTCTCTTAACAGAAAGGAGAGCAAGAATCTCTTCAGTATTTGAAGATCAGAATGCAGCCACTCACCTGATACGCCATGCAGTGGGTAACAATGAGTTTGGCACTGTGGATCATGAGCGGCTGTCCAAGATGCTTAGTCTTCCAGAAGAGCTGGCCCGAATGTATAGAGATGACATTACAATTATTGTGGTGCAGTTCAATTCACATGTTATAGGTGCATGTCAAAATGAGGAACTGTGAATTTCATGTAGTGAACTAGTTACCAAAGTTGTAACAATGGCCAGTAACAGCAGCAAATAAAAAACATCCACCCAACAATAATGCCCAAAAAAGTCCTTGGCAAACAAATTGTTTGCTTGCTAGATTCAGTATATCTATTGTTCCTGCCTTCCCCCAGAGCTCTAAATACTTGGGAAGTGCTATTGACCTAATACAAAACTTGAAGAGGATGTCACAGCTTGGGAAAAGAGGTTTTTGTAACAACTTTGCACTGTTGATTTCATGAATGCTGCTAGAACAATGTCTTGAATTTGGCAGATTTGGATGAGGGAAGTAGGATAAAGAATTAACTGTCAAAGATCTGGCTGTTCAAGAAACAAAGCCTGTTTATAAAATATCTGCAAATACCTACACTTTATCTGAAGATGAGTAAAAAGTATTGTTGAATTTTTACAGGGCTAATTCTTGCAATGGTTATTTGTGAATATGTTGTCTATTGTTTCTTCTAAGCAGAAGGTCACTTTAACCAAGTAAGTCTTCAGTGTGACACAGTTGTCTCACTTTCATATAGACAATGTCATTCATGTAAGGATATTTGTCTAAGTGTTGACTTCAATGCAGGTCTAAGCCATAATCAATACCTGAGATTCTGTTACAGTGTAATCATATCTTATGCACAGTAACTTCTAAACTTCTTGCGTGTTAATAGTTTCTTGGCTGTGGGTTTCTGCACAACTTGTAGGGCAATAATACATTACAACATGCAGCAAGATACCAGATAAGGTTGTGGAGGATGTTAGTTTGCAGTATAATCAGACTTTTCAAAAAGTCAGTTTCGTTGGTTAAGACTGTTTGCTTTCCTAAAGGTTATGTCCTTCGTAGCCTCCACTCCTGTCTGGTATTGCTTACCTGGTAAACAAATTTTCACCTGGAAAGATCAGGAAATCATTGCTTACCTCTTTGTGGCTTTGTAATTTGCACTCATTTTCACCTTGGCTAGTTCAAATTGTCACATATTGGATGTCCTGCACTTGAACTTATATTTGTTAAGTCGAGTTAAAAACTGCAAATTACAAAAAGAAATTGAAGTATGGCTTGTAAATAGCATTTTAATTGGGAAACTAACTGGCATGCATGTGTATGTTCAGTGGCTTTTTCTAGCAACCTTTTAGTTGTGTGTTTCTGGACAGCTGGTGTATGCATGTTCTTACAGTCCAGAATGCCAGCACAGACAAATCTATGAAATGGGTCTCTCTGGCTTGTAATGGTTGAATTTGAACTTAAAAGATTTGCTATAACCTGTATACCTAAAGTTGTTGGGATTGTAACTGTAAAAAGTAGGGACTGACTACTAATTGGTCATCATTGCATCTATTTTCGTTTGCTGTATTGTATGCAGATTTGTTTTGACCTGCCCTTAGGTTGAAAACTCAAATGCTGGCTGAAATACTAGCCCCTGATGACTGAGAGGACACATGTAACTCAATTCCTATGTTCTGGAGAACAATGATAGGTCAGCTTATTTCACTTTATTGAGATGCTTCAGTTAAAATACTCCCTAGCCTTCATCATGGCTAGTTAAATCAACACTTAGAAGCCTATCCTATTTTGGTTAATTGAGTAATATAGCATTTTCTACTAAATGCGAATCTTGCAAAGTAATGCTAATGTTACATAGGATACACTTAGTTTGAACAATGAACCTGTCCTGTAATCAACACTGGCTCCTCAAACTCAAATGCAATGTGTACTTAGTGGCCTGCAGCTTTAGTACATGTGTTTCTTTACCCAGCCATAAGTATCAGCATCAATACTGCTGTAAGGTTAATGATATCTGAGTTCACGTTCAAGGTGTGCACAACCCTTCTTTATTTGAAGGGAAAAGAGGAAGGCTGAAATGCTTAGACAAGTACTGGCTGTTGACATTGCTTCTGTATGTTGTGTTTCGGTGACTGTGTCATTAACTAGGTCAATAGTCTATATTCTATCATTCAAATGCAGTATGTATCTCAGCTGTTGCAGTATTTAACTTTCTTACTTTTTTACTGTTAAAGCTCTATTATGTGTATTGATGTATTTAACCTATGATTGTTGATAGGGATTTGGTACAAGTTATAGCTAGAAGAAATGCACATTGGTCCCATGGATACAACTTTTATTGAGGAAAAGCTGCTTTTTGTAGTAAAGATGCCTATGTATGGGGTCAGATAAAATATTTATGTATTGCTTGGAGACTTGCTCAGTATGTATGCAGTGAACACAAGCAGCATAACTGCCTGCTGA